ACGCCCAGCTGGCCAGGCGCATTCTGTGCATCTATCAGATTGTCGTATTAGGTGTGCAGGGGAGAGACGCCACCACCAACTGATCTTGTTGTGTCTCAGTTGCTCTTGAAGATATTCGAGAGCGGCTTGAAAATGTCAAACACGCTGCGTGTTTGCTAAAGGATTGAATGGACAGATGGACAGAAAAGATTGTTTTGATAGCCATAGATACTACCAAGTGTTGCTGTTTAAGATCAATCATGAGACTGTAAACTAACCATTTCCACGATGCGCTCGTTGTGCTCCCTCGCCTGCTGCTGCACTTGGTCCTGGATCTGCTCAAATTCCGCCTGCTCGTTGAGCACGCTCGACGAGGTGCTGACCCTCGATCCAGCCTGCTGCCCGTCGGTCAGATCCCGAGTCTTTGCTGTGAGCTCATCATTGCGCTGCTTCAGCTTGATCAGCGCAGCCTCCATTCTGTAACGCGGCTTTGAATTGAGTTATTTCCCATTAAATAACTTGGTTAAACTCACTTCTGGCTGGTTTCCACACTCTCCTTCATGTTTTCGGTAAGCAGCTTGGCCACTTTCGTCAGGTTGCTGTTCTCCGTGCGAAGGGATTCGTTCTCCTCCTCCCATGAATGTTGCTGTTAAGAGAAAAAGGGAAGAGGTAACTTCCATTCAAGTTCAGTTAAGTCTGCCCACTCACCTGCTCCAACAGTTCGGCCATCTTCTCATTGGCCTCGTACAGTTGCAGCTCTACGGCATTGGTCGCATTTTTGAGGGTGAGGAACTCATCAGCCAGACGTTCCACAAGGCCACTGGTGATAGGCACCTCATCCGAATTGACATCCACAATGCTGTCTAGATCTTGACCGCCGCTGACACTGTCGCCGCTGTCCGTGCTGCCCTGCTGCAGAATTTTGAAAAGCTTTCGCTTGAGTTCCACGGACCCGAAAACGGTGCGCGGACTAATCTGCGGGACCTGACCCATCGTCTGCTTCTCGCGTATGTGCTCCAACTCGCTTGTGAGACTATAAGTGTAAAATTAAATTATTTAAATTTATTTATTTATTAAATTATATTCGTCAAATATATCATCGAATTATCGCACTATGTAAAACAAGAATGACAAGCCGAAGTTTACTCGGCAAATCTTATTAACTGCACGTTTTCTATAGTTCCATTAAGGTCCATCCAGAACTCTATCAAAATGTCAACCTTGGGGTAGACTTTTAATTTTCTCCAATTTAAGTTAAATACGCAGAAAAAATCATGTCATCCCATATAAAAATATTTAATTAAACAAGAAAGGAAGCTAACTTCGGCACGCCGAAGTTTATATACCCTTGCAGATAGAACTTCGATAACTTCCTGGATTCCTGCCATACAATATAAAATATACATATTAATGTTAAAAAACAATGAAGTAATACCTGCTTTCATTTCATTCACCTATACATATTATAATTTCAGTTTTACATTCACAGATTTGCATTTTTGCTCCACATCTAACGATCGTTTGTATGGCACCTATGTGATATAGACGTCCGATTTTCATAAAATTTGACACAAAATTTAAGACTGATATAAAATGGCAATATCTTAAATTTAATGCAAATCTGCTGAAAACTGAAAACGTTATAATTTTTAATTGTATTTATTTTTGATCGTTCCTATGGCAGCTATGTGATATAGTAGTCCGGTTTTTTTTATAACTTACAAAAATTGTAGATTAAAATAAAATGGCTATATCTCATATTTGATGAAAATCTGGTGAAAACTGAAGAAGTTATAATCTTTAATTTTATTAATTTCTTTTATTCTTATAAAATGGCTATGTGTCAAATTTGATGAAATCTGTTGAAACTTAGAATGTTATACTTTTAATTGAATTAATTTCTCGATCGTTCCTATGGGAGCTATATGATATAGTAGTCCAATTTCATAAATTTTACACAAATTGTAGATAATATGAATGGCTATATCTCAAATTGATCAATTCTGTTGAAACTAAATATGTTATAATTTTTCTTGTATATATTTTATATAGTCGGAGGTGCCTCCTTCACTGCGTTGCAAACTTCTGACTGAAATTATAATACCCTGCAAGGGTATAAAAATGCGAATGCGATTCGATTCGATCCATAAATTGTAAACTGCAAGGGTATTTAAACCTAGGCCTCCCGATGTTAGTTTCCTTTCTTGTTGATTTTCTAAAAACTATGTTCCGACTTATGTTTTTACTACCCGCAATACGAAAATATGTATCTGCTCAGTTGCATTCTGATAGCTAAACAACTTAAAGACTAGTTTTGCGTAGAAAAAGACAGAAGGACATGGTTAGATTATCCTTGCCTATATCGACGTTCACGTGAAACATTCTAATTCAGATTCTTTTAGCCAGCACTCACTTTTGTATCTGATCGACCTTCATTTTGTGCAGTTTGTCCAATGCGTTTCGCTCGTTCAGAGCCTTGCTAAACTTGGAGCTCATCTCCTTGATTTGGGTCTCAAAATTGGTCTGCTGCTGTTGCAAAGCTTCGAGCTGGGCGCACAGCTTTTCGTGCTGAGCCTGTTGCTCCTCCTGTGTGGTTTTATCTGTAATAAAACTCGTTAGAATAATTGAAGGAATCAAACAATATAATATAACTTACGCGTGTCAATCTCCAGCTTAAGCGCCTTGTTCTCCTCCCGCAGGGCAATGTTATCCTCCAACAGCGTGAACATATCATGCTCCGGATCCTGCTCGTTGTAGTCCGGCTCGCGCACCCTACTCCGGCTGCGCGTCTTGGCCTCCTGGGTGCGGAACTTGGCCACTGGTATGCGTCCGCGTCTCTCCATCGTTTATCAGATCTAATGCCTGCTGCGGGCGGACGAAAGAAATTTTGTTATCATATTTGGTGGGGAAGTGTGGAAGGTTAACTCTTAACACTGCTTACGTTTCGCATTAAAGGCAAGTCCTTAACCTCTTCTTAAGCTAAGTGATGCAAATGGAAATAATGCTCGGCCATCACCAAATGATGAGTGTGTGTTTGGATGCACTGGGGAGTGGTGTTTGTGTTGTATATGAGAGATGCTTGGGGAGTGTGTGTGCGCTGCACGGCATGCCTTGGAATTGATGAGCCCACATTAAAACGCCTTGCATATTTACTTTTCGTTTTTATTATTTGCTGTTTACAATTTCTCCTTGATTTCGGTTTTATTTTGCTTTGCTTGGCGCTTGCCCGCCCCTTGCTCTAATGTCCCTGTTTTACTGCCCGCCTGGGCTGCCCTTCAGCTCCTGCTTTCTTTTCTGCTTTTGTGATCTTTTGCTTTAGCAGGAGTCCTGCTCTTGGGTTCAAAATACTACAGAAATTGGCCGAAAGCATTTGGAATGCCTGCCGAAAGTTGCTACGAAACTAGTTAAAGTGCCACGTCCACAGCGCCTGCAAGTGTCTCGCTTGGCCTCAGAAATATTAGCTTGATGGCTCAGTGTGTCTGTGCAGAAGCGTTTCATGCACATCCTCTCATTGTCTGGTTTGTGTTTTTATATCATTCCTTAACTATTTTAATTTAACTGTTTTTTGCCATTTGTTTTTCGTTTCTTTTTGCTAATCACTTATGCGTACAATTTCCTTTGCTTTCTTTGCCATAAATCATCGCCATTTCTCATGTTTTGTCACTTGTAGTGTAAAAATAAAAAAACCTAAAGTTTATACACAAATATGTCGCTACCTTTTGTTGTTTTGTTTTTGTTTTGCCTCGCTTTTAATATTATATATAAACTTTTGAGAGTTGCTTTTTTTTCATTCAATTTTATAAAAATAACTAATTGAAGGCGGCTTAGAGCTCTTTGTTTTTGCTTGTTTTCGTTATGATTTTGTGTATGCTTTTATGCTTGAATGTTTTGTTTTGTTTTTGTTGTTTTTAGTTTTCACTTTTCAATTTGGTTTAAATAGCTATATAATAAATGTGTTTCGAAATTAATATTAGTGTATTTTTTCTTTCCTTTTTACAGCTAAGTTTAAGATTTATCTTTGGATAATCATCATGCTTTTCGTGTGCTAAATACTTTACATGTCTTTACGCATTTTATAATTTACATTGTTTTTTTTTGTTTTTTTTTAGTATACGTACGTATATTTTTGTTTATAAATTAATATTGTTTTATATTTTATAATTAGCTTTAGTTATAGTTTTTTTTTTTCTTTTTTTTTATTATTTCTAATTGAAGATTCTGTAAGCAGGAGAAAGGGTTAGGGTTAATTTTTAAATTTTCGTTTATGTTTGAGCCGTGTTTGCATTGAAAATAGAAATAAATAAAGATTTTTGTTTTATAATAAATCAAACAAACAATAGTCGAATTCATAATATTTTGTACTGAATGGTAAAAATAAACAAAAATTCGCTACACGCCTATAGAGAAGTTAAGCTAATCTAAGCACAGCTGGGCCTGCATAAAAATTATGCCAGCTCTTTAATTTAAACGAGTTTCGAACAAAATACTGCAGTTTCGAGAAGTAATTATACATCCTTATATAAATTGGTTGCAATTGGAGTTTTTGAAAATAGTTTTCGAATTTCGGAGATTCCTTTATACTAAATAGCTATCCGTTATTTTTTGCTCTTGCTTTTCTATTTATTCATTTGATGCGACGAGTAAATGTGTTAGAATACGTGTATAACTTTGTGTTGCAGAGTCATGACCGAGTCATCGAAGGGGATTATCTCTCTTGGCTTTCTCGTAAGGAACGTACGTGTTGTGGTGATACAAATAAAATTGCTTTTGGTCAATGTCTCTTGAAGGCTTGAAAGGAAAATCTGTGCAGTGTTTAAAAACAAGGAATTTTCGTTTCTCGACAGATTCTTCTTGGATTCATCGTACTACAAATTAATGTGTGTGCGTGTAGATGTGTTTTGGTGTGTGACTACGACCGCGCCACGTCTTGGAAATGACTTCCATACGATGTTCTTGCTAAATGTTTGGCTTGCTTCGTTGTGTTGTGTTCCTTCCTTAGGTTCCCACTTCCCGTTGATTTGTTACATCTCCTCGATAAAGTCGCGCAGCTGGTCGATAAAGGGCCGGCGGTAGGCTGACGAGTGCCCAATCTCCAGCTTGTACCACTTGTCGAACGACTCCTTGGGTATCACCTCGCTGTCGTAGAGCACGCTGAACGTGCTGCATATGGTCTCGCCGGCTGCCATCTCGTCACCATCGAGCTCGGCCATAAAGTGCTGCTGCAGAGAGTCCACCGCCTCGTCTATGCAGGCAATTTCCAGCGCCTCCTGGGCGTCGATGCAGAGACGCAGCAGCGGTGTGCACCTGGTGCGGAAGCTCTCAGTGTTCAACTGCAGCTGCAGTTTCTTGCCGCCGCCTCCCTTGTTGCTTTTGGTCATCACAGTCAGCGCATAATCACAGCACAGGAATTTGGTGAGCTGCCTCACAAAGTGCGCATTGATGGCCACGTTGGTGTTGATGTAGTCGATGGCCATGTCACAGGACAGTGCCAGTAGGTGTCTGATCCGCTCAACATGCTCCAATGGTGAGCGTGGCGTCGACGCGCTGCTCGACTGTCCTCCTTTCGCTTTGGCCTGTCCTTTTACTTGGCCCTGACCGGGCACGCCGTTATCCAGGAAGTAAAAGCTGTGCGACTGCACGAACTCGCGATACTTGCTAACATCGTTCCAGAACAGCTGTCCGCGATCCAGCTTGTAGTCGTTGTGCCACACCTTGCGAGCGTAGGCGGCCCCGAATTCCTGCACGAAATAGTTAACAAAGGCGAACACGAAGCGTTCAGTAAAGAACGAGTCCTCCAACCAGCGCCTCTGCCACACATCCTTAAGGTCCAGACGGCCGGAGTGCATGATGGGCCCGAGGAACTCGAAAACATAGCTCCAACCGTTCGGGACGTCCACGAGAAGGTCAGGAAACTCGTCGCTGAACCGGGAATACGCCTGGCTGAAGGTCGCCTTGTCTAACGCATCCTTGCTCATGAGGTAGGCGAAGATGTTGCCGCAAGCTAGACGATGCTGGCGCTTCACCTCAGCCGAGTGCAAGTAGTCCATCATCAGGTATTGCAATGCCTTCGACTGCTGCTTAACGGTGAACGAACGCCAAATGGTTAGAACCTCCGACTGCCAGTCACGCGTATTTAGAGCTTCCTCCACCAGCTTGGCAATGAGGTTCTGGCACTGTTTTCCCGTGAAGGCGATTTCAGCCTGGTGCTCTACATGGCTGCTTCTATTGCCACCGACATGGACAGACGGCAGGGGTGTGCCCAAAGGAGGTGGAGGCAGCCGGTACGGCGAGATACTGAAGTTCTGGCCGGGAGGCGGAAGGCGCTTGAGCAGGGATGTGGGCGGAGGTGGCGGCACACTAGTGTTGGTCGACGGTGGGCCGCTGACCGGACGGTTGTCGGAATTACGCCACTGGTAGTTCGAGGAGTTGCCCAGCTTGGCATGCGAGTCGTCGCTAACGTTGCTGCTGCTGAAGCGCAGCTTGCTGGGATCAATACTCAGAGCTTGGTTCTCGTGCTGCTGTTGCTTGGGCATCTTCTGCATGAAGTAGTTGCTGCCGCCGTCGTGGCCATGCTGGTGATGGTGATGTTTCTGCTGTTGCTGCTGCTGGTGATGCATCGGCTGCGAGTGCTGGCTAATTCCGCTGCCCCGACTACCGCCGCCCCCGCCTCCACCTCCACTGTGGTGCTGTTGCTGATCCTTTGTGTCATCGTGCGACTTGTGGCGTTGGTTGCGCGCAGCGCCCTGCGTCTGGTGACTCGCCGGCTGATCCCAGTTCCGCACCCTCAAATCTAGCACGTCCTGCATCATAAAACGCACCCGACTGCTGATCTTGATGTGCGCCTGCTGCCTATGTCCCGTCCCGCGAGACCGATTCACAATGTCCTGGATGCGGCGGAAGATCTTCTCGATGCGGTCTCGCAGCTGGTACTGTTCGGGTAGCGTGGTCTCCAGCAGATGGCCGACGGTGGTCAGAAGTTTGCACATGTACTCCAGCTTCTCCTCGCAGCCGTGCTCCAGCAGTGACTCTATGCAATTCAGCACTCGGTCGCTGGTCAGCGATTGGAGCTTGAAGAGCTCGCCAATGAAACGAACGGTGCCCCAGGCACGTCTTCGGAACTGGTACTCCAGGTCTTCCATTTCGGAACGCAACTCCGCTTTCTTCGCGGGGTCCGTGCACTGGTTGATGCGATCCACGGTGGGCTGCAGCTTCTTGGCCTTGGCATTGGCATCGTTTACGTTCGACTCGAACTCGTGCTGAATGCGCGTGATCAGGGAGCTGGTGAAAAGCGACTTGTTCTCGGCTTTGATTTCGTGGAAAAGCACCTTGCAGAAGCGGGCATAGGTGGGCGCAAAATTCGGTTCGCTAATGGTCTTTTCGAATATGAGCAGCATGACCTGAAAGGGATTCAAGTTTAGGTTAAGGGGTTAGGGGTAAAGTTGCGCACAATGCCAATCCGGTCCGCAAAACAAAAGAAAAACATTTTCATAAATGCAATACAAAATCCGACTTACATTTGTCATTTTCGCCTCATTGTCCATTTTGATGCTGGACATCTCCTTGAGGAGAACTTCGAAGTTGTCTGGCGTCAGCTTGTTGAGAATGCCGCGCACCTTTTTCAGCACGCCCTCCACATCGTTTTCCTCATCCTGGGCGGTGGCCATGGATGTGCGGCGCAGGGGCTCCGGCTGCCAGGCATTCTCACACTCCGATAGTTTGATCTCCTCCTTCAACGATAGTTGGACCCGGATTATGTCCATATGGCGCTGACTCGAACTGGTTGTAGGACCGCCACCGCCGCCCATGCCACCGGAGCCGCCCATTTGCTGGTGTCCGTCGTGGTGCTTCTTGCTGGCTCCATGACCGCGACCTCCTCGCTTGCCGGGCACATAGTCCAGGGACTCATTAAAGTTCATATGCTGGTACTGCTGGAACTGCTGGCCATGGGCGTGAGCGTGGGTGTGAGCATGATGCTGCTGCTGTTGCTGCTGGCGGGAAACGAACAGCTGCGAGATACAGTCACCCTTCTGGCAGGGCACCATTGGCGGCTTGCGAGAATCGTTAAGTTTGGACAGTTCACGCAGCGTCTCCATGCTATAGCGATAGTTCCTGACGGGAGGAGTAGCAACGGCACTGGTGTCGCTGCAAGAGACTGAACTGGAACTCGGACTGGGGCTCTTTGACTTGGTCGCTTTTTGCTGCTTAGTTTTGGGCGACGATTCCACTCCCTTGACTTTTGCCTGATGGACCGGTGAGCTCTTCTTGCTACCGCCTGCGCTCCTCTCTCCAGCATTAATGATGGATGTGGCACTCACCTTGGGAGCACAATCCACATTGTCGCCGCTCTTGCTGCTAAAGGATGAGGCATCGTCCGCTGCCTTGCTAATGGTCGAGCTGGACCATGTGGAGCTGCATATGAAACCGGTATCGTGGCGCGCCGCCTCCTCGTTGAAATCTCCAAACTTGAGGTCCGCCATGGCATTGTCCTCAATTTTGCTGGACGCGGCGACACCGCGAGTTGGCGGCTCATCTTCCTCACACGCCGAACTGCTGCTGTTAAGGAACTGTAACTGCTGTGTCTCCGAAAGGGATGCGACGGATGTATCAGGGCTGCTCTTCTGCAAGAACTTGGCCACTATCTCATCGTTGGCCAAGTGCTTCACATGGGGATTACGACTTGACACGCCGCTGTCCTCTTTGCTGTCAGCTGAGGGGAAAGATTGTAAAGCAAACATAAGAACCACTGCTAACGAACAAAAAACATGCATGTTTAAATACTCACATTCATGATCGCTGTCCGCCTCCGCATCCATGTCGTCGGTGATGTCATCTTCGTCATTGTTATTGTTGTTGTGGCTCATCAACTGCTCCTTGGGCTTGAGCACAGTGTTGTCGTCTCTTAGAGTAGAACTTACGAAGCTAGGATTATTACTAGTTGTTGCACTAAGCTTATCAGTCGTCGGTTGCGCCGTAGCCTTGTCATCGACAGTTGTCGCCGTTCCGTCGTGTTTGGTTGTTGTTGCCGCTGTTAGAGTTGTTGTTGATGTGGAGTTGTTGTTGTTGCTGTTGTTTGTGTTTGTGTTAGCCTCCGGTGCTCCTCCGTTGCCCCTGTTGCTATTGTTGCCATTGTTGCTCTGGCTTTGGCTGCTGCTTGTAGTGGTGCTGATTATCGTCGACTTTTGTTTCCTCTTCTCCAAGTCCTTGGCCCGCTTCTGTGCCTTGCGCTGTTTTTTGGTTATGTTGCTGCTGTTGGAGCTATTGGTGCCGGCGAGCTGGGTGACGGCCGCCGAGATGCGGTTGGGAGTCGGGACTGGTCTTCCCGTCACCTGGCCACCTGACACCTGCTGCTGCTTTGCCTGTTGCTGGAGATTGACTTGATGTTGCTGTTGTTGTGGTTGCTGCCTAACCGTGTGTGTGGGCGTGGAGGCTGCCGATGAGGATGCCCCCGAACTTGTCGTGGTGGAGGTGGTGGTCGCCAGTGGAGCAATACTGGACTTTCTGATGGGCGACGCAGTCGGAACAGCTGTGGTCGCTATAGATTTACTAATGGGCTTCTGAACTGGCGGTCGTGACCCTGGCGACGAGAGAGGCGTCTGCATTGGCTGGCTTCTGGGCAGGATGGATATGTTGCCCGTGCAACCGCTGGCCGCTGCCTCGGCCACGTCATTCGCTATGGATGTAGGCGTGGCGGTGCCTGAATATAAGACTACATTATGGTATGCCAAGAGTAATCACTGGTCATGTACTCACTTTGCTTGTTGGCCGACTTGGGGCGCTGCTTCTTGGCTGGCTCTTGGAACAGAACGGCGGGCTGGGGTCCCGCCTCGATAGCTTCAGTCGCCTGAGTCAATTCCTTGTGTACGCGTGGCAGGCTAGGATGGGTCTCCGTGACATTGTCGACTGCAAGATGGACTATTAGACTTTGGCTTGGACAGTTAAGCTAAGGCCAACTTCGGCTTGCCGAGATTCCTTTATGTTTACTGCTTATAAATTATAGTTTTTGCTTAATGCTAATTTGACTTTACATTAAAATTTTTCTATAATTTATGTTCGAAACAATAGGGTTACTGAGATGTTTAGCTAATGATAGCTAAAGCATTCTTAAATTAACAAAATGGCAAAGACTTTAAAGGAGAACATATGTGTTTCTATTTAAATCCTAAGAGAACTCTCGTCGCACGTCAGACTTACCGTCACTGTACTGCCAGAAGCTGAGATGCTCATCGGTGTTGCCGGAATGGGCCAGTATATCCTTGACAATCACACTGATCTGATCCTTATCCGTGACCCCGGATGTGGTGGAGAGGCGGCTTTGATCCAGACCAGCTTCCTCCTCCTCGTCCTCTCCGAATTGCAGTCCAGATATTTCCCCCATAGAGGGAGCTACATTCGGCTGAACGTTCTGCATCTGTTGTTCCGCCAATGCGGAAGAGAGTAGGGACGAGCCCGAGGTGGAATCCATGAGAATGGCAGGCGCCTGATATAAGCAAGTGGTACTGTTGCTATCCGAATCCAGCAGCTCTGTGCTCAGTGTCATCGTCGATGAGTTTGAGTCCTTATTAGTGAACACACGGTCCATCACGTTCTCCATAGTGTCCGGATGAATAATGGGAATGGCAAATCGGCGTTTGCACACCTTGTCGCTACTGGCTCCTCCTAGTTGTTGTTGTTGCTGGGCCCCGCCGCCTACAGGGGGAGCCGTTAGCGATGTGTTTGAGAATCCGCCAGTGGCCACTGCCTGCACTCCAGTCACATTCGGCACACTGCCGGCTATGGCCGTCGCGCTGCTGTTCTGCATGTGTATGGGGGGTGTATAGGTATGTAATCCTGATGGCGCTTGGGGCGGTGCAGTCTGCATGCCAGCCGGGGCGAGCATGGGTGTCGCCGTCATCCCGGTGGTGGCAGTCCCAGCGTCAGGCCAGGAATAAAGTTTGGGGCCAGATGGAAGGTGGCGGCTCCGTTCAGGGCCCCGTTTTGTGAGTTTATCATGGGAGCCACCGCAGTCGGAGCGGGACGTTGGGTATTGGTCGAGGCCATAGTGTAGGTGAAGTAGTTCGCATGCTGGGGCGTGGCCGCCGCCCTATGGGCACCTCGAATGTTACGACCGTGGGAGTTGCCGCCGCTGGACACATTGCCAGCGCCACTATTTGGTGCTGGGACATTCACATAGTAGGGAAAGGGATGCGGCTGTCCTGGTGCGGCAGCACCACCAGGGCCAGACTGCTGGCCGTTTGGTGGCTGCAGCTGCTTCTGTTGCTGCTGCGGCTGTGGCTGCGGTGGCACATAGAAGGTGGCCGTCGGAGCTCCTCCCGCTCCGTTCGTAGGGAAAGCCACCGCCGACTGCATACCTAAAAGCTGTGCGCCCTGGCTGTATGTAGGTGTTGGTATGTAGGCGGTGGAGATGTAGGCGGCTCCAGTTCCGGGCGCATTGCCGCCGGCGGATGCGATCAGTCCAGCTGACTGCGGGAAATGGGGCGGCAAAGTGGGGTTGCTCAGCGCCCGGGTTAGATTGGCGGCGCTGGAGTTGGAGGGCGCAAGCACCCCATTGGCACCGTGGACACCACCACCATGATGCCCGGCACTGTGTCCCTGGTGACCCAGCGAGCTGCTACTGGCGGCGGCGCTCAGTTGGTGGGCAGCGCCGCCGCCGCCATTAGCATTACTATTTCCCGCAGCCGAGTGGGTAGCGTATGGCGGCGGTGGGTTGTAGAATATTACGGGAGGATGGTGCGCCTGCGCTTGTACCTGCTGCTGCTGGACCTGCTGTTGTTGCTGAAGCTGCTGCTGAAGGTGGGCGGCGGCTGCCGCCTGATGTTGCTGTTGTTGGTGCTGCTGCTGCAACAGTTGCTGCTGGTGGTGGTGCAGGCCGCTGTGATTCGGAACGAACAATGTGTGGGCGGCCTGCTGTTGCTCCTGCTGGTGAAGGAGGTTGCTGCGCACCTGCTGCTGCTGTTGTTGCTGTTGCTGCTGCTGCTGCTGCAGGTGATGGTGGTGCGAGTGCCCCGTCTGGTGGTGCTGGGCTTGGTGGTTGTGGTTCTGCTGGTGTGTCGACTGTGGCCTGGTTCCCTTCCCACCCCCTCCCGTTTGCAGGAACATAGGAGGACCTTCGGAGGATCTGCACACGCACGCACACAACACACACACAGAGGCACGGGAACAGGCACACGGAGGAGTTAAGAAACGCGCGGCCGGAACAGGAGCAGATGTACAAATCGTAATGTTAGTAAGATGGAAATGGAAGTGAAAATGGACATGGCGGATGTGGGAAAAGCTTGGCTGGTATTATTAAGTATCGTAAAGCGGTGGGATGCATGCGTGCGAGAGTAGGTGAAAAAGCAAAAACCCAAAAAGCGGCATGAAAATCTTATGACTAACACTGTGATCCCAAAGATTACAGCCCTGAAATGCACTCCCTACTCTCTTTCTCTCTCGCTGTCTTCCCTGGTCGATTCTTCCACTTAATTGAGCTCTTCAATTCTGTGGAATGTGTGGAGTATGATGTCACTTTCGTGGGGCGGCGGCGGTGCGCGAAGATGGCCACACGCCTTATCGCCGCTTTTATCAATGGTCTAGTCAATGGCAGCAAAGAGTGCCGAACAAAGAAACTATGTACTATGTGAGCTGCTGGTGACACACAACAACAGGTGGCGGAGCACCGAGCAGCCAGCGGGCGTGGGAGGTGAGCGATGGATGGATCTTCTGTCGTTTGTGAGGCCACAACCAGTTTGGCACGTCGTCAGAGACACTTTCCTCGGCACAGTACGAGTTGCCACAAATGGCATTGCTTTGTGAATCAAATATTATGGGAGAATATACAAATCAGATCAGTCTAAAGAAGTGTTTACTCCGAAATCCAAGACGTTATTCGTAAACATGAATTGCCTTAAGCTCAAGTACATATTACACAGAGAAAAATAGTCTTTTAAAGATTCTATTGGATAAAATTCTAAACGTTTCCCTACAAATATTCAATAACACGAATATTTTGACATAAAAAAATACAATTAAATTAGTCAAAGCGACGTAATGCTGCCAACTCCTTTTCCAGCTTCCACTGTCTTGTGCTACGTGTGCTGGCCTAGAAAACAGCGACCACTGCTGCGGTTTTGAGGCCATGCACCTCGCCACGGGAAAAACCAGTTTCCCTTCTGCAGAAGATGCATGCTGCCGGAGTCGGACTCGCTGGCAGAAAGAAATGCTTACTCGATTTCTTGTTTGTTTGTAAACAAAACCAGTTGGGACGGCTGTGTGGGTGAGAGAGCTCGTAGGAACCGGAGCTGCTCTAATTGGGATCGCAGCGGCGATTGGATTTCGCTGGCAATGGGTGGAATGAGGGAGGCGGAGAGAGAACGAGAGCCAGAAAGTGCGGTTGTGCGATTAGGCTAAATAAGCAAATATAACTACTGCGAATTATTTACACGGGGATTACTGTTGTTTGGATGAGGATGAGCAATTGTGGCCACTTACCGCTTCCTGTGCTGCTCCTGCAGATGTCGAAGTGTTGTTGTGTTGCTCCTAGTTGGGCTCGGTGAGATCCTGCCCACTACTCCTCCCTCTTCGTCCTCTTCCGCTACCTTAGTTGTTCACTTTCTGCTCGTCGTTGTGGTGCGCTCTATCCGGAATTTTCAGATATCCCATATATAAAAATACGCGAGTCTATGGTGCAGCACATCCACATCCACATTGGTGCAGACGAGGGATGAGGGGCACGTACACGTACATACATACGTACAAAAAGGTAAAAAACAACGCACACGGCGAGTGATAAATTTTCACGGTAATTTTTCTATAATTAATAGAAAGTGAAAATGCTTGAATTTTGCCTTAAATTACAATTACGGGTTTTTTACTAATGTTGCGAAGGGCCGAGCAGAGCCTGCTACGATTTTCGTCCCTCTTAACCCTCTGTCCCAGCCCGGATTAGGCCCGAATTTGAATAAATTCCCAAATTTTAAGATCTGATGGAAAGCCCAAAGGCTCTCCAGTTTTTAGTTTTCCCTTTTCAGCCTCCTGTTTGCCGTTTTCTTCACTTTTTTCCTGCGCCGAGGCGAGGCGTTGGTTGTTGTTTTTGCCCTTCGCTTTTCTTTTCGCCCCGTCCCTGTCTGGCTGCCGGTACTCACCTCTTGCCTTCTCGCTCGCGCGCACCACACACACACAAAACCGAGGAAACGAAAAAAAAATGCAGTTCCGCGCGGGGAACACGCCGAAAACGTTGCTCGGGCACTTTTCTTTACATCAGTGCATCGTCCGCAACACCTCGTTTGTGTACTCGTTCACTATTTGTTACAAATAATTTTGTAATTGTAAAAATTCTACAGAAACACGTCCGTGTTTGCGATTTATTTGCGACAGGTGTGCCACTTTGGCTTGCTTTGAGCTAGATCTGGCGATAGCCAGTTTAGCGATTTTCAAGCTAGAACTGGCTTTTTAATCGATCGGTAATGCAGTACATAATTCCACTAAGCAGTATCCAGTTCCAGTAAGCAGTCTTTCGAAAGTCTGGCAGCCTGTTTTCCAAGACAAAACCAAAAAGGGGTTTTAACTTGGATGGAAACACCAAAAATGAGAAGGCTTTTAACATGATGGATAAGGTGGAAACAATGTAATCAAGTTTCAATCCAGTCTTTATCCAACTTGTTTTTTCAAAACATAAATTAAAGTTTAAGGAAAATAAAGTTAAAAGTAATAAGTTCCTTTACTAAAACCTTTTTTTAATTATTTTATGTACGATCTTTGTACTGTGGACCAGGAAGTTAATTTTTTGATCAAAATTCTGTAATTCAGAGCGCGTATTCAAAGTTTATAAGAAAATTTTTTTTTAAATTTTGGTTTCTGCTTATTACAATAAAAGCATTTTGATGTGACTATAGCTGCCGCATAGGGGCAGGAATCACATATATTTGGTTTTGCCAGTAAACTGCAAAAAATACATCTCAAATATCCACTTTGATTAGCTGCCATTTCGTAACCATTAAATAGAAAGTAGTACAATTTTGAGGAAAGATAGCTTAATCTATCCTTTTTATTGCGCAATGGTGTTTTTTTCGTTTTCTTGAAAACATTTTTGACCATTTTGTCCAAAATCCGGGCCGCCTGGCCCATAGTGCTTTGGCTTTGTGTGGGTGTGCGCATGCGCAGAATACGGCCTTCCATCGTGCCGCCCAACCCCGCCCACTTTCCCGGGAAACACTTGCAGTGTTTACGCGCTTGTAGTAAAAGTTTTCCCCTTTGTATTCCGCCGGATGCGCCGCCCCCTCCCACTTTTCGTATTCTGCAATCATTTTGGATGCCGGCTTATCTTCTTTTACTGTGTTATTTCCAGCTACAATTGACTATTTTCCATTAAAAATATGCTTACATATTGTTTGTTTTTTTTTTTTTTAATAATTCAGTTACTAAAATTTAATAAAACAAAAGGAAAATTCCAACATTCAGTCAAAGTGACTTTTTCGCATTTAATAAGACATGCACAAACAGGAACTAAAAGGATTATTTTGTGGCCGGGAAAGCAAAAAGCCCAGACCGCAAATGCAAATGTTTAAAGTTGCCAAAACGAAACCGCAGCAACACACACAGAGACAGGGTTTTGTCCATGAAGTTGCGAGGCATTTGCATTGCTTAATTATCAAACTATCAAAATTATATAGACCAGATAACGTTAGCGTTATTTATAGATATTCCCTTTTAAACAAGAAAGGAACCTAATTTCGTCACGCCAAAGTTTATAAACCCTTGCAGATAGAACTTTAATCACTAGGAACTAACAGAATATAAATTATAAATATTTATGTTAAAAAACAAAGTAATGCCTGCTTTAAATTTCAATTCATCCACCTTTAGATATTATATTTACAGTCTTACGTTCAAAGTTTTGCATTTTCCTCTATTTCTAACGATCGTTTGTATGGCACCTTAATGATATAGTCGTCCGATTTTCATAAAATTTCATAAAAAATTGTAGTAAAATGTTAAATGGCTATATCCCAAATTTGATAAAAATCTGTTGAAAACTGAAAAAGTTATAGTAGAAATTTTACGATTGTTTCTATGGCAGCTATATGATATAGTCGTCCGATCCGTATAATACCCTGCAAGGGTATAAATATGGTTTCAAGGTGTATTACAGGATTAATTTTAAAGACACAAAAATCCCCCTTGTACGCCCCTCGCATGCAGTATTTTTCTTAAATTATACTAAAGTTTTTGGTATATTTTGCAGAAACAACTGGTATATTGCGTCGGCGCATCCACGGCCATATTGATGCCATTTTCAGGGGCTCCGGCTGCGTTCACACCAAGTCTAAAGCTCGACTCGCCCTGACGCGCGTAACGCTTTTTTCCCGCATTTCCTCCACACTCATTTGGCGCTGAAAAATCCAACCCAATAAAGGCAAAAAAAGGATGCACCAAATCAAATTTGCAACCAAAAACCGAAGCTGCACCTAACCAGGTATCAGGATTTAAAATAGATGTATTAATTTAACTCTCCTTCAATGTGACAACAAAAATAGAAATAGTGCGCGAATAAAAACCCGAATAATTAAATGGGCCTAGACCAAAATACAACTTTTTCGTTTCTTTTAAAAAAGTTTGTTTTGAATTAACCAAATAAAATTAAACGAATGGCGGCGACATTTACTCAAAGTAAATCGTTAAAGTGAAAATTGTGCAATAATTTATAGAAATTTCTATGAGAAATTCATAAGTGTGCTCTGATAATAAATAGCCATTAAATGCGAAAATACAAAATGTTATGCAACTTAAAGTTACACAAATAATTCAACAAATAAGCAACCAATCACAAATTCTGCTCTTTGAACAGAAAGCAAATACCACAGAGTCGCGCAGTACATATATGCACGACTATACATATATTTATATATACAGAAGGATGTGTGTATATAGCGGAGCCTGAGACCTAGAAATAAGGAGGGCAACAAACATTGGATTACATTTTGCCGCCAAGTTTTGGCCAAAGAAAACCCACCAACAAGAAAAGAAACGAATCCAAGACAGAAGCACAGTCGAAATCTAAATGCCCACCTGACCAGGAGCAGGAAGCACCTACCTATCCCCGCAGCACCTGGGAATTTTCACCCACGCACGCAAGCGCAGGCTCCCCGGGATTCATACATAGCACCAAAACCACAAAAAAAAACACACACATAAAAAATTAAGACAATAAAAGGAAACCGAAGGCGGAACACGGAGCTGCCGAAATTGCTTTTACTTTGATTTCATTTCGCCAATTGTTTCAACATGTGGAGGAAGGCGAGCAGGATGGTCAGGGAGACCACCTCGTGGAAAACGCGTCGTCAGGGCCAAACGGAAGCCCCAACAGCAGCAGCAACAACAACACCAGCCAGGACAAGGACACACACGACCCAAGGATTAATCATCACATGGTCGCAGTTGGCAGTTGTTGCTGTTGTTGCAGCACTTCTTAACTCCTCAGATTGTCAAGGTGAGAGATTATTCCAATCAGATTTTTTATTAAATAAATTGAGAGGCAAATTAAAAAATTCAAATTGATTTATTCTTTGACATCAGTTACATCAGTTTGATTTACTTAGGATTGCTTAAGACAGTTCCCAGCTTTGCTAATATTTAATGTAATTCTCACACGTTTAACTTCGCAGAATTAAGAGTGGGAAACCTATTAATACAAGTTTGGTTTCCAAGTACTTTTACTTTTCATTGCCGCGCGACGGTAAAGAATTCTTTAATAAATAAATTTAATAATAAATTGTCTTGCGGTTTGTCAACATGTCCAGCAGACGGCTCAATAGATGCCAACGTCAAGCTTCAAAAGTGTGACGAATTTTGTTGGCCTTAAGCATTGTGGCTAAGAGTGAGTACTTTGCCTCGAAACCCCAATTCAATTAACTCAAGCACCTTTTTTTCACGGGGCCCCGAGACCCTCGAGAGTTGCTCAATCGCTCCATTGAGGCTGGGCGAGTGCGAACTCAATAAAACTGTTGAATGTATCGCAAATGATCAAGCCCCTGCTCTAAGGCTATGATGATGTACTTTTAATGACTCTTTGTATCTAGCTAAAAAAAAATGTAAATTGATGCGTCATTTTCATACCTCCAATGGAGGCTCACACAGACCTTTTATTTGGGCAGCCATAAAAACCTCAAAGTAAAACTGAAAACAACAAAGTCTGTAAAAACTATTAGCACTTTTCCTCTGAGACTGTAATTAAGTTCCAATAAAAACTATATATATAAACTATGTGCTTTTTTAGGCGTCACTTAGCTAAAAATATCTTTAAAAGAATTTTCTTTTTGATTATAACTAAGAAAACTAAGGGAAAACTGTAAAATGTGTGTGAATATCAAAAAATTCACTTTTATTCAAGTTTTTTTTAAGGTAAAACTGGGTAAAACCAATTAATTGCTTGAAACAAAGGTCGCATGCTTAGAGAATATAGTAATAAATACCTTCGTGTCTTCACACTCCAGTCTCAATTCTCCTCTTGTCATTTATGGCCGTGTGAATACATTATGTAAAAGAGGCACCTTAAATCAAAGCATGCCCATTGTTTTGCATATTATTCTCCACATTTGGCTATGACTACTTAATAGCCATAATTAGCTGGGACCACAAGGGTCGCTCTGGGGTTCAATGAACCGACACGCAATTGGTCAGTGGGCAGAAAAAAACGCAGAGATACGGATACGCAGGTACTAGAAGCTCGGCGATGGGAATGTGACTCAGAATTAACCCATTGTGAAGGCCAAAATGAAACTCCCAGTCGTTCGGACCAATTTAAATTTCTGCCTGTGGTCTTTATCTCAGCCAGTTTCTGGGACCGAACTTTCCTTTCGATTCATTTGGCGCTCTTGACACTTGCTTATAAATTCAGCCAAGTGCCGGACCTGTGGGAAATTCTAATTTATGGCCACAAATTACTCTTCGCATTATGCAAAACACAGCGATAAGGCATTAGAGGGGCCAATGAACCGCAAACAAACTAAATCATTCATATCTCGCTCGCGAGGTACTGCCAAAAAATCGAGCTGAGAATGGAAAGGCTGTCCCTGGTTGTGGGGGTGGGAATTGGTGTTTATATGGAAACCGGTTGACAGGCGGAATTGGGCTTTGTACTTGGTTCCCAGTTGCCAGTTCCCAGGTCTCAGATACCAAACTCGATTCGGCCCAAAAGTAACACACATCCAGCAGCGGCAAACAGAAGTGAGTCGGCAGCAATCTTGTCGCTCCAGTCCCAGTGCCAGTCCCCGACACTTACGTAACACACTCGGCCGCAAAACAAGCCGCTGCCAGTCGACTTCCAGCTCCCACAAAACACACACAAAAAATAAAATGCCAAGGAAAATGATGCGAAGTGCAGCCCATTGAACCCGGCTGGAAAAGAAAAAAATGAGAAACCAATGGAACGCTTGACTCCGTCAATGTAAATTAACACGGCCTGGCAAAAAATGAAAGTGTGTCGGCGACGACGATGCAATCGAGCGGTCTTTAAAAGTGCATGTCTCCGCGTAGGCATGCATTCCAGTTACTTACCACCAACTATACTATAAACTAAAAAAACGATCATAAAAATAATGAAACTAGTTTTTCCACCGCCAGGCATTTTTGTGTCAATGCGTTTCTTATGCGATCTGATGCCTTACTTACTGGAAGCTGTGGGTTACTGGGCTAGGAAAGAAGAATGAGGCAACCATCAAGTGAAGGCAGAGCATCTATAATTACAAAGGGAAATAAATAATAAATTTATAGTGTAGATATTTACAGATGCATCTTGGATAATTACTATTGAAAAGGGAAATAAACACAAAATATCTTGTGCTGACATAACAAGCAAATTAGCTAGATATTTTAGAGGAATATCTCCAATTGAACTACAAATAAATAAAACCTTTTATTCTTAGAAATACTTGAAAATATTATATAGATACTTGAAGAGTTTATTTACAAAAACCGCGAAACATTTCAAGTACAATTAATTAAGCCTTTATTTAGACAGTTGTGTAGCTTTTGCCAATGCCTTTAATATAATCTCATACAAATTAATCGTTTAAGTCCACTTACCGGCAGCTTAAGCTGAAAGACATTTATCATAAACAGATCCGGCTTTAGTCATTAAGCCATTTTAGTTAAAGGTAATTCAATGTGGGCCCGAAAATGATGCAAAACATATACAATTAGGACAATCGAATGCAAATTGCTCACTTAGTTTATGCTACAAATTTTATGAATTCATATGATAATAAACCAAATTAAAATTTCAGAGTTCCCAAAGAAGCAAGATGCATCAAATTCATACCCTATTAAGCTCATTAAACGATGCTAAATTCATTTGCTCATGAAATTTTTATACACATCGAAATCATCCATCATCATGATGTAATGAACCGAGATCGTTTTCCCTGTTGACATTCGCGCGTTTCCACCCACACATCGACCATGTCTATGCGATGGAATCTTTATAATCCGCCATGTGAGATATATGGAGCGGCCAATTAAATCTCATCGTGCTGCACTTTTGTCCAGCCATTTTGGTAGCATTCCGCTGGCTCTTGCCTCCTGGCTGCATGGGGAGAGTTTGGCTGTGGGAGGTTGCAGGCTGGCTTGTTGGAGCTTTGGTGGTGCGGTTCATTGAATTTCAATTGTGGGCGGTGCAATGGGACAACCGCGAACATCGACAGACCAGAGCCATAACAGCGAAAATATTAAACTGATTCGGTTGTGCAATGTGGCTCTTACATCACTTACATTTCCTTTCCCTTCCCAGTTGCCAATTTCAGATGTCACTGCCTATTGAACACGGCATGGGGATTGCTAATCGTGCTGCGGATTAAAACTTGGACAGTGCACAGAAAAAGAGGAGTAAATGCGATTTAGATTTAGATTCGATTGAAATCAGTATTTAACACTGGATAAGCCCAAAGCTTTACTTTGCTTTTTCCAGTAATTATAGAGAAAATAACTGAGCAAACCTCACAATCTAAATGGGAATTAAACCTACTGAAAATAGACTCTGGAAAATGTTCATAATTATTTTGATAACACAGAATAAATGTTTCACCAATTTATGTTTATAAAATGTGGGCTTGTGAATTTTATTGGGCTGCCTGGAAAGTGCAGTTCTGAACTGGCTTATCGGTTGTTGGCAGTCAACCAACTTTTTTGTGTGTCCGCTGCCATGGCAATATAATCTAATTCACACCAGCATTTCCGAGCAGCCACTCGGCAGCAGTATCCAGACATCCAGATCCTTAATGCCATGTCCTTCGGCTGCTGTGTGTGTGTGTGTGGGGAGCAGATTGTCGAGCAATTTGCAGCGATTAAATTAGCTCAAGCGTGCCGCCGAAGAAGCGATTTCCCCTCTCCATTTCCCTGTATTGTTGTTGTTATTGCCAAGGACTAAGGTATTAAATGTATACAAATACTCCATGAGCCGGAGTTTCGGGGATGTGGGGAGGAGGTGTGTGGTTGCATATGAAGCCACCACCAAGACGCAGGAGATAAACCAGGACGAGGCATTGCCTGGGCGGGTGTAAAAGGCGCCACGCCCTCCTCCCAGTCTGTACCGCCCACTGTGAGCCGCATAATTCTCTGTGATGTTTGCCGCGGAAAATGTTCTAATCTCTACGCTGGATTTACACATTGCTTTCCCGGCTAACCCCCCGCTGGAAAAGCTCTCCTCCTCTCACACAACCGCATTCAAACTTTGTGTACATATTTGAGTTTCATTTCGTTTGTGGCTACGTTTTGGCTAACATGAAGTCATAAAATTGAAACAAATACAAATGCGACTCGCGCTGATTTCCAGCTGAGCGGTCACGCCTCCTTTTAAGACGGGGGAGGCGACGGTGGTTGAGCGGTGGCACTCTTCCCAGCATGGGGGCTTCGCAAATCCCCCAGGAGGATGCCATGGAAGGTCGCAGGACTCGGGCAGAAGCCGCCGAAAGTCGGGGAACAAATTATATAGATTGCTTCAGAGTCCTATACAAGGGTCGAACGATTTCAGGTATTAAATCTTTTATGTTGCATACCTTACACTGCATTAGTTTTCCCACATCTACTTATAATTCCCAACTGGTTATGGCAGTTTTCGCAGGAAGACCCTATCTTCGAGCAGGGGAAAGCATACTTACCTGGCGTAGAGGTTAACCGTGATCACGAAGGCGGTTCCTCCGGAGTGAGGCTTGGCCATTGCACCTCGGCTGAGTTGACCTCTGCGATTATTCCTAATGTGAATAACTCGTGCGTGTAATTTTTGGTAGCCGGGAATGGCGTTCGCGCCGTCCCGACATGAGGAATAAATTAAACAGATAAGATATTGCGGTTTCTTTATAAGGAAGTCTTCCCAACGTCCTTATTAATTGAATGCCGGGATGTGATACTTTGGAAATCGGGAATTCGAGGGTAATTTGAACAAATGTCCGGCCAGCGTGCCCCAGTTCGGATCTCTCCATCCATCATCGATCATTAGCCGAGGGAGGCGTTGCTCTTCCTCGGATTCGCATCCCTCAGCAGCCCGTTCTGTCCATTAAGCGGCTTTCCGTCGTTTTGTTTGCGTGCTCCTGGGGTCCAGCCTCCTTTTTCGCGCTTTCTTATTTATTTATCATCATTTATTAAACGCTCTCGCTTCCCTGCCAAGTTTCCGATGCCAAGAAAGGAGTCGTTGGTCCAATTCGGCAAAAAATCGTCGCTGTCAGATTACGTTGCAATATTGCTTCCAGTTGCCATATCCTGCCGTCCTGCCGTCCTTCCGCCCAAAATCCACGCTGCCGTAACGGCGAAGGACGAGAGAAGCGCGCAACCGGCGGAGAAGGAGGGACTTCCTCCTTTCCCCCTTTTGGCTTTGACACAAGCAACAATTTACTCGGTTTCAGGTTAAAGTCATATCGTTAGCATTAACGCTTTTTGATTTTTATTGAGTCAGCTAAATTTTATTCGATTTACCATCCACACACACACAGCACTCCGCACACCCTCGCCGGGCCAAAGACAAATACAGATGTAGCAGGGAGTGTTCCACCAGCAGCATCCCAACATCCCCCGTCAGGAGGACAGGCACAACATTCCTGGGGAGGAATATTTGCGAGCTTTAATGAGGTTGGGCGAGCAACCAACCAGGGAATCCGTGGGTGGGGGTCCGACCTGCCTTCCGCCCCAGCCCCTCGGCTTTGGGAAGAGTCTATTTCGGAAGTAAATGAAAATTTGATTTGGAATTTCGTGTGTCCTGGTCGTGCGTGCGTGCCAGGATCTCGCACTCGCACTCGAACCCAAACCCAAACCTAAAACCGGGCTCAACCCCCAAAAACGGGAAGGGAATGCTGATGATGTTGTTGATGCTGATGACGACGTCAAAGTCGAAGATGGGCCATGTGATAAAATAAATTACGGGCAGATTAGTGCGAATTTAATTATCGTTGGTTCCTTTGATGTCGAGCCAAGTAAATAAAGGGAATAAATATGGAGATTATTCGAACGGCAGTTCTAACAACATTATTTCCGTCCCCACTTAATTGTGCGAAATATGTGAGGTCGGGTTTGAAAAATGCATGGCTACCTGAGATTTCCCAACCCTAGATGAGCCTATTTCAGGCGCTGCTCTTGTAATTCCCAACGGGTTCTGGCAGCGCTGGCATGGAAACCCTGCCGCCGAGCCGAGGAAAGCATACTTACCTGGCGTAGAGGTTAACCGTGATCACGAAGGCGGTTCCTCCGGAGTGAGGCTTGGCCATTGCACCTCGGCTGAGTTGACCTCTGCGATTATTCCTAATGTGAATAACTCGTGCGTGTAATTTTTGGTAGCCGGGAATGGCGTTCGCGCCGTCCCGACATGAAGAATTAATTTAAAAACATACACAAATTTAACTTAATTGCTTATACTTTCGCAATGAGGTTTGTTGGTAATTAAATTAACGTAATTTTAAGGATACTTTCCTTTTACCCGGTATATTGGTACTGTCAATTACTATCACGATATTATTGCTTCATAACAAATATCACTATTGTGGATATTATTCAAGTGCACTGGTGTAAATATTGGCGTTTTTCATCATTTTAATTGATAACAAGAAGGAAAAATAAAGCTAACTTCGGAGTTTGATCATGCAATTATCATAACCACGCCATAATTCGGAAAAGGTTTTCAATGCTAGTTTTTATTAGGTGAATGCATTAAAAATTAAAATTTGTTGTAGATTCTTGACTATTTTAACCATATAACCCTTATAAAATCTTAACATTTTGTAATCGACTCGACTGTTAATGCTGATCAATAATATATATGGTTATATATATATAGGGTTGAAAATGACTCCGTCACTTTCTTGTAAACTTTCGAATCAAATTATAGTAGCCTGCAAGACTTCAGTTCCTTGAAATAATAATCATATTCTATTTAACTCATTTATGTAATTTGTAAATTAATATTTGAGCATCTATAGACTCGAGGTCAAGTCGGTTAGTCTAGAGTCTGAGCGAACCAACATAAGCTTCTTTTATGAAACTTTATCGGAGTCATGTCTGATAGTATTTGAATATTATAGATGAAGTTTAATACTTTACCTTCACAGAAGTTAATTTGACTTATTGCGATCTTTACTTTTCAAAATATTAACTACGCATATCATTTTAAGAGTTCTCTGCTAGGAAGGAGGAGAGCTTCGTTATTATTTAAGCCTCAAAATGAGTTCAAACACAACTCCCAAGGGAAGAACACAACACAAATCCACTTCACGTTCCCTCACCATTTTTTGTTGCTTCGCCAGTAACTGGTTAGTGCAAATATTTGTCGTAAACGGAGAGTCAATCATTTGTCCATCCATCTATGTCCGCCATGAAACCTCCAAAATCAGATACAGGGTGAACTGTGGGTTGCCTGCGGTAACCCGCCCGGCAGCACATCCATATGTCCACCCCCGAGATCCGAGATCCAAGTTCCAAGCACTTGTCGTGGGGAGTGCGAGCATTAAGGATTGGCCAACCCTTTCTGATTCCACGGTTGTTCGCTGCCAATTCGGGGCTCAAAGGGATGCTCTCGTCCTGCTAAGTATCCCTGGCAACCCGTTAATTTATAGAGCTTATGTGTCTGCAATCCAGTCGTGACGTCCTTCCCTTGCTTTCCTGCCAGCTGTGCCCTGCACTTAGATGCGATTAGTGGATTAAAGGCGTTTATTGTCTCCGGTATCCGAGGCACATCGAATCGGTCTCTCGGTCGTCCGGGTGATGATTCCACGGCTGGAAATTCAATTGGCAAAGTGACTGCTCGCAATGTGGGTCGATGTCGTCCGGTTGCCAATCAATTTTCCAGTGCCAACCTGGCAACAAGTCAAAAATAAAGCCATCTGCCCGGTTGGCAAGGTCTCCACGTTGCTTCTTTCCTTTTTATCAGCTGCCGGGAATCTTATCGCGTCCAGTGACGAAATATCAGGAGACGCAGCCAGACACAACCACTCAGCCAGCCAGAAAGATAGACATGGCCATTGAGTATTATTTGTTCCTCCTCCCCCCGGAACCCAAACTCGAACCCAGGACAAACATTATTAACAACAACCATCGGCGGTCGTGTGCCGGGCAGCCTCAGCCTCAGGCTCAGCCTCCGGTGACGGCGTCAAGGAGGAATCCCTGTTCATTGTGAATGTATCGGAGTGTTGTTGTTGCTGTTGTGCTTGGGGATGTCAACGTGCTCGTCATCACTTTGTATAATATCCTCGAGCACGTATATTCCATGGGGCCACGTGCTCGGTGAGCGTGGGTCCAGGACTTCAGAGATTAATGCACGCATTAGTTGATTTAATTCATATTACGCCGGCTATACCAGCTTCAGTTGTTGCTGTGGCTGTTGTCCTGGCCACCAGTGGCAATTGAGACATTCTGGGGAATCCCCTGGCAACAATTGTGGGAGACGAGAATGAGGTGGAGGCAAAGGCACAGGCAGAGGAGCAGCTTAAGGCATTCGAATTTAATATCGAATCGACAGGCGGCAAAAAAACAAACCGAAAGTTTGTTCGGTCTAGGGGATTGACGAGAAGTGTTCCTTCGCCGGGTTCCCACCTCTGACACCTATCGCTGGATGTTTGTCTGTTTAAACATTTGGCATACATTTGCATTGTTTAGCCGGGAGTTCGCCGGCAGCGGAGTCAGGGAGCTTAGCATTGAATTTCAATATATTTCATGGTTTTCAATCAATTTCATGGCAAAGTCCCAAAGGGACAGTACTCCCCCTGGGACTTGTCAAGAGCATGGTTCGTCATCGTCGTCAACCATCAGCATCACCATCATCATCATCATCCTCGTCCTCTGAGGAAGAAGCACGAACAGGAGCTGAAGCAACCTGAACACTGGTTCAGGAAAGCTGCACGCCAGCAACTTTTTGTATGGCAAAGTTCTTCTTTCGTCTGAGGATTAATTTGTAAAGCAGCTCGGGCGCTCTTTGTCCCTGGCCAGCAAGCTTCTTGAGCCTCCTCCGGATTATGAATCCCTGGCAGGCACCTGAAACACTGCATTTGGGATGAAAAAAAGAAAAACGTATTTTTGAGCCTTCGTTTCAATTAAATATGCTGCAACTAACGATCTCGCAACCCGTTCTTTTCATTCCTTTCCCTTAGCCGGGCGAGCACCTCCGGAGCCCTACTACGGCAGCTACGTCGGAGAGTTTACCAACTTTGCCCACGGCATCAAGGTGAGTCCTGTCCTACCCAGAGTTTAAATTCCTTGTAAACTTTTGAATTTTAATATATATATTTAATCGTAAATAATCTGCAATATTGAAATATCCCTTCCTCAGGGTCGAATCTATGCGGTGGACGAGTCGACGCTGTTTGTCAAATCCTTTGCCTACGACGGCACCGGACCGGACGCCTTCTTCTGGGTGGGCAAGACGCCCCGACCGAGTCCCGATGGCTACATCATACCCTATCCGGAGGAGTACATGGGCATGTGAGTATCGGGTTATGCACTTGGCTTTTTTGGTTTTGGACTGTCCCAGAGACTGGACCTTGTTGGAGGCGGAAGCGGAGATGGAGGTGGGGACCGAGAAGGAGACGGTGATGGAGATGTCCTGGCTACTCGAGCGCAGCAGGCCATTTCCTCAGAATGTGTGTGTGTGCTTGTGTGTGTGTGCTTGGATCCTTGCCGACTTTACGTTACGCACGGCTGACAATGAAACCACTTTCAAAAATTAAAAAACATTTTTCATCTCGCCTGCCATTTGTGCTCGCTCTCGCTCTCGCTCTCGGTCTCGTTTTCCTTTTCCTTCTCCCTTTGTTGCCCTGGTTGTTGTTGTTGGTTGGTTGTGCCTTGTGTGTGTCGCTTCGTTGCCTCCTAATGTGAAAAACTCATTTATTTCTTCACGTTAGATTTGTGGTCATATGTGGAGGCGGGAGTGGCAGTCGCAGGCAAAGTCACAGACAAAGTCACAGTCACAGTCACAGCAAACAAAGAAAGCCGCAAGACACGAGCACAAAGCGTTGGCAGAAAGTTGCAGCTTTCTAGCTACTATTTACTTGAGTCGCCACAAGGTTAAGCCGCTCAACTAAGTATTTACCTTGCCAGTATCCTGGCGGTCCTCCCCTTGCGCTGCCACTTGAACGCACTAAGTCGCTCCCCCACCCATCCCACTTGGCCTAATCCGCCGGTGCATCCTGGCCACGCACACAATTTGCCGTCATTTGGCCTGCACATTTCATTATCACGAACAATGCAGCCCCACTAGCTAATCCCGAGCCTCATCCTAATCCCCTCATCCCCCCAGGTCCGTCAAGGCAAAGGTAAAGTGGCTTTCCACGCGCATTGGCATTTTCTCAGGTGCAATTGGAAGAAAACATAGGTGAATGTTGTCTTTGATTTTCACGATTTCCACTGCCTAAGAGGGTAGTCAATGCCAAGGTTGTGTAGCACTCCACTGATGTAGCATCCTTGGAATAAAAACCTAAAGACAAGGAAGTATTATTAGCGAAATGCTATTATGTTTTTGATTAAAAAGTCACTTTAGAATATACCTTTGAAAATGTGAAATGAATATTTGTAGGTAGCAAATAAAATTCAATGTTTTTCCTATTAGTTTCTTAGTTTCAGTTTGACCTTTAATATTTCATAAATAGCAGAAAAAGGACATAATTCTAGCTTGTAAAGTTTCTTTTATTACAAGATATTATTGTACACATATTTCATGTTGAAAGCCAATTGAAAACTTGCTTTATTTTTGCATATTCAATCTTTGCCAAAATATTTCCCTAATGCCAAGGATAACAAAACGTGGCGTGCGAGGAATAAGCGATTCCCATAAAGCGACTTCCTCCCATTGCGCAGTCTCCATGCTGCCCCCAATCCCAGTCTCAGTCCCCCAAAGCCAACCCCAACCCACTTTCCATCTTCCGTTTCCCAGGATAAAGAGAAAAAAACCTGAGAATGTTTACGCGTTGGATTTCCCCATTCGAAAATCTCAACTGCTCCTCGGCGCGGTTTCTCGCTTGAGGAATCGGATTCAGATTCGGAATCAGAATCAGAATCGCTGCCTGCTTGATGATGTGTGAGTGCGGCGGACTGAAGGCTGAAACCTGAACTCGATGCAGAAAACCATCCGTGGCGAATCGGTGGCCCAAACCCAAGGCATTCATATTGTAATCGACTTTAATGCGTTTCATTGTTGATGCCACGTGCCGGGCTTTATTAGTTCAATGTACAACGATGCCATCGCCTCCACATTCATCCACCCATCCCCCACCTTCTGTCCTGCTGACAAAGAGCAACATTGTGTGGAGGGGTTTGGGGCAGGAGGATTGTAGGCGGAGGTGGAGGTGGAGATGGAGACCCGGAACGCCGTAGCGATTGCACGCTTTTACGCTTTCAGACACATTACCCATACCCCCCGTTGTACATTACCGCGTGCACCTTCTGACGCGCTGGTTGGGCTGGGAAAGTGGGTGGTAGGTGGCTGAAGGTCGCTAGCAGTGTGTGTGTGTGTGTGTGGTGTTAGCACGATGATGATTGCTGTATTATGTGGCACACCGCCGCCGCTATCGCAATCGCATGCATTTGAGCCAACAAATTGCGCGCGTTTATTATGTCTAATGATTTTTATGTACGAAATTATGTGTGTCTGTCTGTCGGCGAACGATAAATTGATAAATGCAACTGATTGGCACTGGGGACAGGCTTCCTTCGCCTGACAGGAGCGGCGAGTGACAGCCCCGGGAGCTGGCTTCTTGCTAAGCTTTCCGGGCGTATGCCAATCAACGTTAATTATCCCGACTGCTTTTGGCGGGCTCCGTTGAAGGGCTGCCAATCCTGCTGCATCACAATCGAGTTCGGAGCTCAAAAAGAAAATTAAAGTGTTCCAGGATACAAAAACTTTCTATTTCTGAAAACTATAGTTATCATATATAAGGAAACTTATAAAGAATTTCTTTGCTTCCATGTCCTTCTGAAGTTTCTAGAGTAACTGGAATTTATTATTCATGTAAAGCTAGAAATACATATAGTCATTTAGAATTTATAGCTAAAATTTCGTTTCTAAACTTGTTATGGAACAAACTTTCCCAATGTTTATTGTTCTTCCAATAGTACCTATGGTTTTTCTTGAGTGGATCCCTGCTCCTGGCGATGCTCACTTTTTTTGTGTTCACGCTCGCTTTAGCTCTGCCCTGGTGAAAGGGGAAGATTGGTTGCCGGGAAGGGAGTGGGGATGGCGTTGGATGGTGGCTGTGTCACAATGGATGCATCGAGCATAAGTAATTAAATTAGAATTTTTTGAGAAGCATGAAAGCGACGGAGCGCTGATTAACGCCCGTTGCCATGACAATGAGTGGAGAAGCCGTTGCCTTGTCCCAGTGACACCACCACCCACGGCCAACCCCCTGAATTACCCCTCTTGCCCCTGCTCCCGGCTCCCGGCTGCTGCTCATTTGCATCTGAACAACACAACGCCGCATCCCCGCGCATCCACCTTGGCGCTTGCCTTTTCGCTTAGCTCTGATTTATGCAGATTTCATTAAAGTTTGCTTCGTGCAAAGTGGCAAATGAAGTTTTAGTTGTGTACTCTCCTCCTGGCAGCCACTATGTAGTAACCAGGAGCAGGATGTGCCACCCGGATCGTCCTTCGTGGTGTTAATCATCGCTGACAGCGCAGCCGCAACGCGAAATACTGTTTTGGCTGTCGCCTTGGGCTGTGTTGTGCCCATTGTCATTAACTCGATTTAGCACCAGAGTTGGTAGATTTATTCGGATGCAATTCTCCCTTAAAACCTGCTCCTCCCCTGCTGCTTCAGGCCTTCAAGTGGCTGCGCCTGTTGCTGTCACTTCGGTCCCCGAGCGCTCATAAGTAGGCAACGATTCTGACACCTTTGCCGGAAATGAATTAAAACAAGGAATTGCTGCATATCCTTGGGGGGTTTTTTAAATTTAGTTGATATTTAACCCTCTTAATACTATTACTTAATTTTAATTATTATTATTTTATATAAATCTCTTTCAATTGCAGTACTTACAGTTAAGATTTGAGCTTTGAGATCATAATTTAACTGATTTCTTGGGATAGAAATTATTGCTGTTTATTGGGGTTTATGTTTAATTCTTTAAAATGCTTCCGCTTTATAGTGTATTCTCTTTTAATCGAATCACTTCAAGTCATGAAAGTTTTAAGAAAAAAATGCATTTTCCATATGATTTCTCTACTATTTAAGAGGTTCCTTCTGGTTTTCTCAGAACCCTTTTCTGTTAAAAATGTATTATATTAATTTAGTGTATTTTTTACGTGTTAGAGTATTTTCACATCTGAGAAACATCAATTTAAAAGCTAAGAAGCTTTATGCTCTCTTAATATTGTACAAAAATTCCATCCTGTCTTGTGTATACATTTTCATACATTTACTGCTAACTAGATTTTCCGCAGCTCGTTAGGAAACATTTCGCCGTAGTCTGTAGTGGGTTTCTTCCCCGGACCAAAGCCTTACTAATTATTATTGTAGCTGCGTGATTAATGCCCCGCCCGGCGCTACCCCCGCTGCAAGCACTTTAATACAAATTTAATTGAGTAGTCGTTGCTGGGACTCATCATCCGTCTGCGGACTGTCACCCACAGAAGCGGGGGCGTTGGCTTGGCTCCGTCACGGAAACATGAAATATTCATAATAATTTTAGAATATTTTCGGTGGTGGCTTGTCCTCGGTTTGGCTTTGTTCGGGGAATCCGGATGGGTTGGGATGTGGGGCCTGGAATGGGATGACTGGGCCTTCTGCTGAGTTGGCGCGTTTTATTGTCTGCAAAATGCCCTCAATTGTTGTGCGTTTTGTTTATCGAGCGGCAGGCAGTATATACATAACATATACTGCCAGTCAGCAGGAACGGAATCCGGTGGTTGAGCAACAAGTTAAGGGCTTAGTTGGGAATGGAAGGGCACACAAGCGGACTCCGAATTCCAACTAAACTAATTGGGCGAAAGTGCATAGATGCTTAGCGCTGAGCGTGAGCAAATAGAATAAAATCGATGGGCAGCCAGAGCCCACTCCAACCCCCATTCCAATCCATTCTAAGTGCATCAATAAATGTCGAACTCGAACTCACTCAAGCCGGGCGGAGATGTCCTTGTCGAGAGGGAGGACAGGCAAATCAAACAGGGAACAAACACACATATTTGCCAGGCAGACTCTGTAATGGAACTGGGAATCAAAGGCAAACAGACTAGAGCCAAGGAAGTCGCCCACGATACACTGTGTCCTTGGGGGTGGCAGGACGACAGGACACATCCCTGGGTAACCGGCAGATAGATACATTTGATGCACTGTTAACACAGAGCCATTCAATTTGTCTTGGCTCATTAGAGGCTGCACCAGTTGCTGCTGGCATTTTGACAGGACCTCGGACCTCGGACCTCGACCCGGCGACCCGTTCACACGTCGCCCGCCTCGGTTCAAGGGTATTGTTGTCTAAGTGCTTAGCCGTGTCTAATGCGGATTGCGTGGCCTCCGCTGACATTCATTAGACGGCGACCTTTCCACTTCAGCAGCTAGAGCCGACTAGCCCACTAACTGACTGATTGACTCGCCGCCCGCCACTTGTCCCAGTTGCGGCGGATCGATCCTCCCCAACCCCCAGCGCCCTCAAGGAGCTCGAGCTCTCTCTGCCTTGATTTATACTACATCCCACCGTGTCGACAGATACAGATTCATCTGGGCAAACACTCGCTGCTGCTGCTGCTGACTGCCAACGACGACGACAGCCCCCTTGGGATTGGCATACTTAGACTTCAAGTTGATTATTAATATTCCCAGGAGTCGGTTGGGGAAACGAGATGAGATGCAGCAACTGGAGGATATGTAATCATCGGAAAATCCACATGATTATAAAAGCAAGCCACTGCACTGAGGAAATCAGAGGGTACCTTACCCAAGTAACATTATTTCAAGTGCATAAAGGGATTGTGCATTTACATAAGACTTGCCATAATTGTGGGGAATAGTGAAGGCATAGAAATACCTCAGATAATCGTTTCTGATATTCATTATTCGTGATAATTGCCCAACCATTGCAATTAACATCTCTGTGCCAAGGCTCCGCTTCGATTCCCACAGAGATGCGCCACCAAAAGACACTCAGATTGAAGCCCGAAAGAGTCGCTAATTGGCTAAAAGCTTTAAGCCGCCGCAAAAAGTGGCAGCCACCTAGAAATCCATTCGCCGCGGAGGAGGGAGACGGGGACAAGTGGCAGAGGAGGCGGCATGGAGACGTGTGTAATGCCTCGGTTCGCTGCATTAGCCATAAATCTTCATCAACGCTCGCTCCCCTCATAAATAATGCGAGTATGCGAAAATGAGAAATGTTTTGGTTTGGCTTTGTCGCCGGTCGTTTGGTTTTTGCTTTAATTTTAATGATTTAATAGTGACGGTGGGATCCAGGCCAAGGGTCTGGGGGCTGAACAGTCCGTTGCATTTTCTGGCTGGTCACACATTAATCTCTATGCACACATTGGTAACGAACGTGCAAACGTGAAGGCGTGTCACAGGGCTGGCTATCGGTATGTTTAATTTCCTTTTAACCAGGACATAACAGAAAGGACAGGACTGTGAGCATACAACTGGAACTATAACATCAAGCGATAGGAGAGGCGGGAACAGTGGGGTTAATACCTATCATTTATAATATGTAAAGCATATTATATCCTTTTTACCATTTTAATGTAATAATCTATGAAATAGCCACAGTTACAATGTGACAAGGTTTAGGAATTCCTCCTTATGCTAGTTGGTACACATAGTTTGACATGGCCAGGACCTCTCATTTAACACTCTTTTCTCCATCTTACTCTCGTTCTTGGTCACCATCGCCACCCGCAGGGATCCACCCATCCTGCAGGCGCACAACGGAACGGACATCCTACTGCGCTTACCCATGGGCAAAAGGATTAAGGACATTCGATGGCTGTCAGTGTGGTGCAGACGCTTCACGGTGAGTAGTCCCAGCTCGTTCCTCTTCCTTTTGACAGCGCTCTTCTAGCGGACAGATGAACGGCAAGGATGGCACGCGCCATCCTCGCAGATTTATGTGTGTATTTAGCCGGGGCAAGAGCCTTCCTTTTTTTTTGTAATTACATTTTTCGTAATTTAACTGCAGCTGCCTGCAAAGGATTCGAGCATTATACTCTTGTCCGGTCCCGGTCCCAGTCCCGGCTATCGATTATCGTCTTAATGGCTTTTCAAAAAGGGGGAGAAGTTATTTGGTTTCTCCTCTAGGGTTTGCTTAAGAGTAAATTAAGGATTTGCCAGCATGATGGAATCCCGCCTTTGTCCACACTCTGATATAGTAATGTGGGTCAGGCAGGGCGCAAAGCGCCGGCTTCCATTCGAGCTTTAGTTTTAGATTCTAATTACAGTACTGAATATGCAAGTGCCCCCCTTCCAGCAGTACTGGCAATTATGTTTGCTTTGGCAACTTCGTCCGGCGAAAATTGCTTTTGTCCAAAAGGTTGCCAAAAGGGATGAGATGAGGATGAGAAGAAGGCTGAGAGGGTGCTCCCTGCAAAAATGCATTCCTCTGGATAAATTCCCCAAATGGCCACCGCTTCGGGTTCTAGTTCTGGGCGGGAATAAAAGATGGCGGCCGTAGTAAAATAAATTACAGCAGACATTTTTGATTAACTCAAGTGGTTGCATATAAATACACAGACACGAACACAGACCCAGTCACAGACACAGCAGAAACACACTTACACAACCATAAACACCGACACAGCCCCCTCACATGGACACTGGTTGTGTGTATCCGTGCAACATACAGGGTGTCCCGTCTACGCTCCATCTTGCTTGTGTGTGTGTGTGTGTGTGGGTGGGTGGGCGTACGCCGCCTTCCATTGACTGACAGCCAAAAAACTTCTTGGGGGCTGCTGCTCACGCACGCATACAAATGCCGCTCGGATTGGGGTTAGTTAGTGCCGCTGTGTGAGTGCGCTGTTTGTGGAGTTTGGAGCGCGCATGCTCGATTTTTTATGGGCGGGGATGGGGAGCACGAAGGGGGCTCCAGCCCCCATACATAAACACACACACACACATACACACTCACATTATGTACATTATGTTTTGGGTATACAACAACAAAGCGGTTGTTTGCTTACTTAGAGTCGCCGCGCCATCCCGCGCCTCATGTAGATTGTCAAGTAAAAGCGCGAGGAATTGAGTCAAATATTTGGGCATTTTTGGGAGGAAACGAACCTACATACCCTTTGTTTTTAATGAAGAATTATACAATATATACTTTAAAAGATGTACAAGTCCTTAAAAAATGTAGTTTGAATCGCTACAAATATATATTTTAATTAAACAAAAGGTATGCTAAACGATATATGTACTTTATATAAATAGCAAATAAGTATGAAATCAAGTGAAAGGCGTCGTATAATATGCGAATTCCTAGAAAGCTTGTTTTTATTCTCATCTGTTTCATTTAAATTTTTTTTTTTTTTTTTTTTTTTTTTTTTTTTTATTTTAAGAAAATACTATTAATAATACCAATTTATATTAAAATTTTAAATTATCAAAACAGCTATATGTAAATCTTCACTCTTTTGACTTTGATTACTAACTGACTACAAATAACCGACCATAAAAAAGAACAACTGAACCTATTATATCATTTTCTTTAAAATAATTGAGTAGAAAGGGTGTTCACATACTTGCCTCAAAATCAACTCTGCTGAGATATGTGATGTAGAAAACAGAAAAGTACTATGTAGACAGTAGTAAAACCCTGTCACATGCCACGCCTTGAACATTAAAGTAAAACTGCACAATGTGTTTAAAGGGCACTCTATTGTCCTTTGTGAGATATAAATGCAAACGATGATGACCTTTTCCCTTCCCTCCAGGTCGACTTTGGCGAGGTGTTCATTCCACCCAATCTGGATGTGCCCAAGCCGCGGGTCTTGCCCGAGTTCAAGCGCCTGGCCCACGGTCTCCGTTCGAGCAACATCAGCGTACTGGACGCCAGGACGTTCTACATGTGAGATTCATTGCACCTTACCTATTTTTCTAAGGATTGATGATATTTACCTACCCCCACTTCAGACCCAACCTGCACTACGACGGAGCCGGACCCGATGCCTACTTCTGGGTGGGCAACGGCAGTGAACCGAACATCATGGGCATAAAGGTTAGTAACGCTTAGTTCCGATTAAAAAAGGATTAGATAACTCAAGTGTTTGGCTTTTTCTACAGGTCCCCAACGAGGTGGGTTCGCTGGAACCACTGCGCGGCTATCAGGGCGAGGACATTGAGATCCAATTGCCTGCCAACCTCACCGTCTACGACATCGATTGGCTGGCCGTGTGGTGCGTGGAGTATCGGCACAATTTCGGACATGTCTACATTCCGCGGGATCTGGACGTCCCGCCGGCCTTGGGCCAGACCAAGATCACGGTAAGTGCGGAACCCGGAGACGGGTTAGATTGTTCCGGACCATACCCCGCTCCATATGCTAGCATTTGTTCATTTGCATAAAACTCATAATATATATCTCTTTGACCTATGCGCGCCGCATTAGCCATTATGGTGGTATTCACCCGTGAGTACTAGACTTAGCCCCATGCATGACCCGTTCCATGGCAAGACCACGGCCCTAATACCCACATCTCTCCTTTCCAGACCACGACCACCCCTCGGCCCGCAGTGTATAGCAACTGTCGCGAGATCCTGCCAAACCGACTGCAGGTAAAGTGGGAGCTCCAGGGCGAGCACTTGCAGGTGGAACTCTTCGGACGCATCGCTGAGAACCAGTACATGGCTTTCGGTCTGTCCGGGGCAAACGGACGCGCACAGATGGCCCAGTCCGACGTGGTAGTGCCTTCTACGACACCAATGCTCGCGTCTTCCGGGCCGAGGACTACTTCATTTCAGACTTGTCCCAGTGCGACGGGCAGAGAGGTGCCTGTCCCGATGAGCGTATTGGGGCCCGCAACGATGTGATAGTTGGTAAGTGCCATTAACAGTGGGTTCATATTTATATCTAATTAACTCTAAATCCTTCCAGTGAGCGGCGACAGGAAGAACGGGGTCACCAGCATCCGATATAAGCGTCTGCTACAGACCAACGAGGCCATCTATGATTCACCGATTCCCATCGATCGCGAGGTCTCTGTAATTGCTGCTATTGGACCCCTCAATGCCCGGAAGGAGGCCAACGCCCACTCGCACACCGCCAGCGATCACAATCAGGACGACATCCGCATCAATTTTGGGTCTCGGGTAAGTTTAAGTCCGGAGGTAAAGTTACTGGTGATTGCTTTACGTTGCTCCTTTAGAACGATCACGCCTGCAAGAGTTCACTGTATGACGTGAAGGACGAACCGGACCCAAGCCATGGCCCACTCGCAAGATCGAGGGCGTCAGGAAGTTCCGGGCCAGCATTGGACCCACGGGTGGCAAGCGTGGCTACACGCCCATCACCGGAGTGCCCTCGTGGGGCATTGCCTGGTACGTGAACGATCTGCTGATCCCCGAGATCACGGTGGAGCGTGGCCAGACCTACGAGTTCATCATTGAGGGCGGCAACGATCCCTCGATGCCAGCCAGGTGAGCTGTACAAACTAGAAGCAAGACTTTGTAGGTGACTAATGTACTATGTTTCCCTAACAGATATCATCCGTTTTACATTACGGACTCACCGGAGGGCGGGTTGGGTCAGAAGGTTGGTCTAGATGCCCGCAAACAAAAGGCCTACGCTGGAGTGGAGTATGACGAGGATGGCGATGCTATTCCCACTGGAGGTGAGTCTTGATCCAAGACTTCTTTGCCACATTACCAATGCACATATACTCCAATAGGTGGTCGCTACTGCGAGTGGGAGCATCAGACCGTTGACCGTTCGCTGGAAATAGAAACCTTTGAGGAATACATGAAGACACTGGAGTACAAGTGTGAGGACGGCGAGCCTGGCTATCTCAACTGGACGGTGCCGATGGATGCTCCGGATCAGCTGTACTACCAGGTGAGTGTACCTCGGTAGCCTGGAGAGTGTTCATCAATTTTAACCTTTCCATCTTTCTCCACCGATGCAGTGCTTTACGCACAACAATCTGGGCTGGAAAATCAACGTCGTCGACATGGGAGCCTCCGGCGGATCCAGCGTCAGCGTTAACCTTATCGTTTTTAGCGGGCTTTCCACAGTCCTTGGCCTGGTTGCGACACGCCTTCTACTGACTGGCCACGTGCTTGCCTGATAGTGCTCTGGCATTGGCCAGTAAATTTGATTAAATTGTAGATTTATTTAGGGGCCATCGGCAGACAAGGTCCTTCGGCATCATTCGAGCACATATCCAGCTCCCTACATATCCTTTAACACAACGACGAATCCCGCTTCTCGCGACGAATTTATGATTTCTCAATCCCATGAAAATGATGACCGGACCTGGGTGTCTGTCGAGGGCCTGGGGTTCGGGCCAGTAGTAGACTAGGGCGACTTTCACAACCAGGCTAATATCATCTGACAAAAACATATCTTGACAATAATTCGTAAGATGTAAAAGTGTTGAAAATTGTGTGTGCATGCGTGAGAGGGTCCACTGTACACGGTACAGTGTGCAGTGGCCGAAGAATGGGTGTGGGGCCACCGCCGGAGGGCATATTGCGGTCGATGGCAGTAGGCTTTTGGGGGCGGGGCGCGATGTCTTTTTGTACATTTTACGAGTATGGAATTCTACTTTTTTACATGTATACTTATTCAATTTACTTATACATACATCTATATCTCTAGCGCAGTAAAATGTAATTTTCTAGCAACAACTACAAACGAAAAACACCCTACGCTACATGCCTAGAGAGACCCAACCAACATGGTTATATGCCAAGTGTAAGCCGACAATAATGAGGTGACACTGCGACAATAAACAAACAAACCATAATAATAATAACTATAATACAAATAATGTGAACGAAACACAATAAATACTTATGTTTAGACATTGTACAATAACAATAAGGAGGAGGAAAGTGTAGAAAGTGAGGAATCAGAGGCAATTTGTATGACAATAATAATATCTACAGATTTGTGAATTTTGAGAAACGGTCTCGTTGACGGACAATACAATACTTTTACACAATTTGAATGTACTAAGGAAACACTAATTGATAATTGATAATTGATAAATGACATTACCAGATCAAACATATGTTATTTAATGCTACTGACACTAACTACTGTGGTGCTTCTTGTAACGATATTAGACGAAATGTAAATCACGCTCAATGCGGCTTTTGTTATCGAAGGACGACGATGCTGATGGTTTTCTTGAAACTTTTTTAACTATATTTGCGTAATTGGTGTTTTTACATAAGCATGATATATATATGTATATTCGTACGTGTTTACAATAAGCGAAAAGCAGAGAAAAGCAACTAAGATGTACGACAATAAAGAGTGCGCCAACAAACAGAGGAGCACAGAGGATAGTCGAGGGAAATTTAATATATAATATTATGAAATCGGATAAATATGCATGTACGGTAAATCTTTTTGATAGTTCTACGCATTAATTTTCCACCTTGGCTCGGTGTAAGCAAATATTGAGATCATTCAATGAGCTAATTATAAGAATGGACTTGTGTACTTTCCCTAAGCTATATAGATGTATAAAAGAGCAAGGACCTTGGAGTTTGTTAAGTTTCTGTTGTTGCGTTGAGTTCTGTTGAGACTTCTCCCTTGTTTCCTCTCCCTCTATAAAAATATATTTACTAATATTAAGGACAACTGTACATTTCCGGGGCAACAAAGACATAGAAAAGTGTGTAAGAGGTCTTCAGCTATGGAGAGTTTTGATATTGTAACTTGTGAAGATCCTGAGGACGAACAGGAGGTTTGTAAGTCAAATTTAGTTTTGTATAGATTAATGCAGCTAAGCGCACAAGTGTCCAGAGATCATGAAAACGAATAGAAACATATGTATGTATATGTACGAAGAGCAAAGGATTTACAAGTACATAAATTCACACACATTTATATCCAATTGATATACATATACAACACGCATAAGAACATATTTACATTAAACAAGAGGCAAGAATATTACATTCAAAGAATATCCCAATATTAAGGAATTTCCATGTCGATTATAACTTAACATCTCTCGTACTTAGATAGCAACATTTTTCTGCATTACCTAAACAAAGTACTTTTCATTACGAATAAAATAAATTGAACTCGAAATCAAAAGCAACTTGCATTGAAATCTCCAATTTAATAATTAGATATGTACGTATGCATGACTCGCAGGCTAGGCGGCGGAGGACGAACAGTGAAACTATTCCATTTTTAAATGTTAATATATACATACATAGATTGTATCAGATCCAAGAAACTCAAAACCCATTGACAATAACTCGCCATCACATTGGCCAGTTCCCGAAACAAGCGGTAGAGAATTGAAAGATTGATGTCAATAAGCAGCTTCACAAACGAAATCAAAACTGCTATAAAAACAAACACAAAGTCGAAATAAAAGCAAATATTCTACAAAAAACTTTTCGAAAAACATATTTCGTTGTGTTGTTTTATCCACTGACGGTACTATTTTAGTTTATCTCTCTGAGAGCAAGAACTTTCTTCCACTGCTCTTTACTTTTATTTTCATATTTATTTTTGAGGTCGGGACGGCGCGAACGCCATTCCCGGCTACCAAAAATTACACGCACGAGTTATTCACATTAGGAATAATCGCAGAGGTCAACTCAGCCGAGGTGCAATGGCCAAGCCTCACTCCGGAGGAACCGCCTTCGTGATCACGGTTAACCTCTACGCCAGGTAAGTATGCTTTCCTCGGCTCGGCGGCAGGGTTTCCATGCCAGCGCTGCCAGAACCAGTTGAGAATCATATGGCGCTGGTGGCGACAGAAAAGCACCCCGTAAGTATGCTTCATAAAATGCTCTAGGCCTGCGCAGTTTGGACCGAGCTGAAAGTCGACAGCTGTTTCACGTTGCTTGTAGCGACTAAACGTGGTGTGTTTTATTTATATTATATTGTTTTATTGCTATCCCTTAAATGAAAATAAATTTTATGCATATATTTGTAATTTTACTTGAGTGTATACATATATAGTTTCTATACGCTAACTGTAAAAGGGAAACTAAATGGAAAGCTTTGTACATTTTATACGGCGTTGCTAAATATTCATTAGTATTTATTTTTAAATCTATTTGTTTATATTTGGGGGCTAAGTTTTATGTTTATATTTTTATGCCACACTTCATTTTTATTTTAGTTTTACAACAAAGTTGGGAAAAGATTTCCCGTCATGAATTAAAATATAAATATAAATATATAATAATACAATATAAATGGGCAATTCTCCAGAAAGGTCTACCGCGGCCAAAAACTTAAAATTGCTTAAAAACGAGTATTTTCAACATGATTACATAAAAAATTGGTCAGGATGATCTAGACTAAGAGAATTTTTGATTTTCAAAAATAAGTTTTAAAAAAACGATGTCAAACACGCGCAAACGCAAATAATGTTGTTTTTATCAAAAAAGGCATAAAAAATGGCATGTTTTGTTTTGATGCCAATCTCTTAAACCGAAGCATTTTGCTTTGACTTTTGGTTTCTAATATGACATAAAAAACCCAAAGAGTCAATATGAAATGCAAAAGGACATATGCGATTACCAATAGTCGTACAGTTTTAATTTAAATTATCGCTTTCCAAAATGTCGTGCGACATGTCGCGTGCGACCGGGACTAAAATTGAATTTAAAAAATAACTACTAAATCTTTTTAAATCAAACAAAATACATTATTAAGAGAATTCATTGCGTAATTCATTAAAATTTATTGTACTATAATTTTTCATTATGTTTCGCTGAAATCAGAGCTTAAACTGGTTTTTTGCAAATGTAACTTCTTTTTTGTCGCGTGCGAACGCAGTACATTTTAGTGAATATCTTAAAAAAAGAACAAGGGTTCAAAATCGACCTTAGCACCAATTATAGTGCTAACCAAAAGCTATACGTTTCAATTTTTATAAATTTAAAATAAAGTCTTGGCACATGTGTTTTTTTAGTTTGAATGTACTAATGTCGCATTCGACACCAGAGAATTGCCCAAATATAAATATATATATAAATATATTGTAATAATTGGCTTCTGCAAGTCAAGAAATTTGTAGAAAATAAGTTTTTAGCTTAGAAAATATATTTTTTTTAACATAATAAAGAAAGACTATTTCCGGGAGCCCAGGTTTGTATGCCCTTGCGGCCTGCAAGTGGATCAATTAGATTTAATTAAAAATCGATCGAACAAACATTACTAATGTATAAAACATTTACAAATAGTAACAGCCAGATTTTTTAGTTTATTTATATAATTTTCGATTTCTATTAAGCTTAACCTGAATTATGAAATTAACATGTCTCAGAGTACATGTGGAATGTTTAAAAACGGTGAAGATATATATTGTTCTATTATCGTTCCTAGGGCAGCTATATAAAATAGCCGTCTGATCTGATCTGACCCATATGTACATATGTTTGTATATACTTTTTGTATATACCTGCATTAAAACTATGATATAAGATTCCGGAAAATTACACCACTAATTTTTTTGACAAAACGTATAATATCCTAAATAATATGTTAAGAAAATTTCGAAAAATGTCCTGTACAGTTCAAGAAAATGCCCTGAAAACTCGCAGATTAATGTGTTTTAAGATTTAGAATTTGTAATATCAGCTCTCTGTCATATATCGAATATCTAAAAACTAACCACTGGAACCAAAGGTAGTCCGTTATACCAAAGAATTCATATATTAAATTGATCTATTGTTTTGTAATAATTATCATATTTTTAAGATTACAAAAGTATCAAACTATATCTGTAAATTCATCAGTTGGGTCTGTAATTTGTTTCTCTTCTCATCAGATGAAAGTTTTGCTTTATGCTGATAAGCATCCTATTATAATATTTTCCTACTTACAGAATAGGTTTCTAAATCGATATCCATTCCAAAGTCCCATATCCAACATTTAAGTTAAGAATCCCAAAGAGTAATAATTCCAGAAATGTTTTATGCGTATTGCTAGAAAGTTTTTATTTTACATTTTGTATTTATTATAAACTATTTTGTTGTTTGTTTTTTTTTGCATTGTTTGTGTGTGCATTGTTAACACACATTGCCACGCAACTGCAACATATAATGAACACACACGAATGTGTTTAATGCATACAAAATAAGAATAATAATACAAATAATCGTAATTCATAATTATAGGTTGTGTAAGATTATCTAACTTAGTAATGCATAATGCGCGATTTGGGGCAGAAAATGAATATCAACGTATATATCTGTAGACTTGGCAGATATATATAGTAGATCTAGATATACAGATACAGATAATGCTATTATGAACTCGCTCTTGAAACTGTACATCGTTTTTTTTTGTTGTTCATACGGTTGTGGTAATTCCTTTGTTATTTGTTATTTAGAATAATGCTTTACCATTACGTCGTTTACTGAATCTAAATCGTTTATAATTGTGTTCCTTCGTTCGTTTCCTATCTTCGTTTTAAATGTAAGCTCTAGATTTGGTGAGAAATACGTAAATGTTGCTGCTGTCGGGTAGTTTGCAATGGATTATTGCGAATAATTGGGTTTAACGATTACATTTCCATCATTGTTTGGTTTTTACACAATTATACACAATCTATGCACTTTGCCTGTGGCTGGCCATATAAATATATCTGCGATTTACATTCGATATCAACTTTTACAATAATTAATCATTATGTTCAATGTTGCGCCAGCTGGCCTCACTTTCATTGTTTCGAAATCATTTTTACATTATACAGTAACGGAAATCAAACGTGAAACTTCAACATGCAACTGCGATCGGGAAGGGGGATCGGCTTTCGTTAATTTCGCAATTAATCGCATTGGTTTGCTAAACATAATGCAAAACTCAAGCACAGACAGAGACACTTCGCATCGCTGCGATTGAACTGTTTAATTCAGTGTTCAGAAACTGCTTCCGCCTTTCAGCTGCATTAAATATTAATTAATTAATTAATTATAATAAATAAAGCCTAGTTTTAATGCCTGCTTCAAACTCGGACATCGTTCAATTACTACAGTATCTATGTATCTATAGACGTAAATACACTTGTTAATCGCTTATCGATTTTATATTAAATTTAATCTAGATTATCCTGGAATATTAATTTAATGTAGCCAGTCGCTCCGTCCAAGGGCGTCGCACAAAGGGACAGACCGCCTGGAATCCGTTGGTGCCGTGCGGTATCTCCACGTTGGCCCAGTATCTGCAAGAGTCAAGTTTAACCCAGAATTAATACAGTCAATTCTTAGATTTTCTTAGGCTTTTGCCACTCACTTGACAGTTTTCTCAGTCGCCATGTGTCCGCACGGATTAAACGCAAAGGTTGGAGCGCCCACGTCCACATAGAAGGCGGGCTCGAGGCCCATGCACAGGGTGACCACTGGACCCAGTTCCAGGCACATGGGACAGCGACGGGCACCGGTGTTCACATCCTGACCCCAGTCATGATGGCCTGCCCGGGAGAAGAATACTGATGTTAGGGATACGTATCTTTCAAATTACATTTAAAACTCACCTTGGACATGGCCACAGTTTAAGTACACATAAGGCTGGTTCACCTGATCCCCAATGTTAACTTTGCGCGGTATAACCAGCGTATTCAGGCCCACCGGGCACTGCGGACGACCGGCATTGATGGCATCGATAAGTTTCTCCAAATCATGTTTGGTCTGCAATTATTAATCAAATTGTAAATAAAGGTATATCGTTCTGTAGACTCGAGGTCGACTCACCGGCGAGTGCTGCAAACCCTCGGCGGAACGCCAGAGCAGGGTTGCGCCGCAGAGATCAATAAGTGTGCCATCCTGCAGGATGTTGCATTCGTCGTAGATCTGTGGGATAAGTGAAAACGGAATGAGCTCGGCACCAAGGTGGGTCTGAAGATAATTAATTAACTTACCGGCTGACCCTTTTGCTGTGCCGAACGCGATTCGCGTAGACTGAAGACATCGCCGCCCACCGAGCATTCACGCCAGAGTCCGCACTTGGCACTGCCACCGCAAAAGGATCCTTTGGGGTGCATAATTAGCACGCCATTGGTGGTCAGGCCATCGATTTCCACGTTGTCCTGCCATTTCGTGGCCTTCTCCTGTACAAAGTCAAGTTCGAAGCTCATTAGAATTAGTGGGCGGGCGGGCTTAGGCCACACTTACCCCAAGGAATATGTTTCTGCTTGAATCGAAGCCGGCAGCGAATATTCTTGCCTTGGCAGGCTCACAGCGGTTGACCAGGATGCGGCAGGCGAAGCGAGAAATTGTGCTCTGCATCACCTTGGCGTCCTTCTTGTCGCCGGGCAGCGTGTCCATCACCACAAAGTCAATGGGTGACTCCGAGGAGCGTCCCACCTGGCGGAAGAGTGGGGAGAGCAATCGGAATTAGTCGAAGGTGAGTATTGGGGGGAAACTACTGATTAGTGTGAGTAAGGTGAGTGCATGGGGCAATTTATCACTAAGCAAATAAATGCCAAATCATGCAATATTGGCATTACACTTTAGGCCAAATAAGGAAACGATACTCCGGCCATGAGGCCCATATAAATATTGAATGTCGCTTTGCCTGACCGGCTAAAAGTCAAGAGTCAAGACAGACCGATTCGGGGCAAGCTCCAATTAGCC